GAGCATACAGTCTAATCTTGGGCAATGCCCCCATCCCCCAGGGCTGTGGCCATGCTTTTTCTCCTCGGCTCAGACCTGTCTTAGCGTGGAAGGTGGAGAGTTATGGGGGTGTGGGGCTCCATCCCTTGCTCTGTTGGAGAAACTGATTCCTCAGTGGCCCGAATGCAAAGATGGGCGGGAGCCTTCCTGGTCCCATTCAAGTGCTCCTCAGGCCCAACCCTGCTGAGATTCTGAGATTGAATGAGACCATGTGCATTCAGGGTGGTCTTCCCAGAACTGCAGACCCTTCCCAGTTCTGATACCTCAGGAGGCGGGGCACCTCAGGGGCCTTGTGCGGCCAAGCTTGGAGGCTCATGCTACAAGCCCCCAACTCTTTCCACCCTTTAGGAAGGGCCTGGCTTCTCTGCAGTAACTGGTCAGGACTCAGAGAGAGAAACAGGCATGGTTTTAATCATTTATTCATTCCTTCAGCAAGCAGGCCTTTCTTGAACAGTCAACTGTATGCTGGGAGCTGGCGGGCGGCCTTGGAACACCCTGGGCTCAGTCTAGTGCTAGACTGACGATTGGGCCATGATGAGGCCAGGGGTGCATGCTTTGGGAGCCTGGGGCAAGTGCCAAGACTGGCGGGCCTTCTGGAGGAGGTGCCTGTTATGCCCAGCCTGGAAGGAGGAAGAGGAGGTGTTCTTTATTTATTAAAAAAATATTTTTAAGCCGGGCATGGTGGCTCACGCTTGTAATCCCAGCACTTTGGGAGGCTGAGGGTGGGGGCAGATCACTTGAGGTCAGGAGTTCAAGACCAGCCTGGCCAACATGGTGAAATCCTGTCTGAACTAAAAATATAAAAATTAGCTGGGTGTGGTGGTGTGTGCCTGTAGTCCCAGCTACTCAGGAGGCTAAGGCAGGAGAATCATTTGAACCTGGAAAGTAGAGGTTGCAGTAAGCCAAGATTGCACCACTGTACTCCAGCACAACTTCGTCTCAAAAAATAAATAAATAAATAAATAAATAAATCCAACGTTTTTAGAGATGGAGTCTCACTCTGTCACCCAGACTGGAGGGTAGTGGTGTGGTCTCAGCTCACTGAAGTCTTCAACTCCTGGGCTCAAGGTATTCTCCCTCCTGCCTCAGCATCCTGAGTAGCTGGGACTTTTTTTTTTGGTAATATTTTAAAGAGATGGGGTCTTGCTATGTTGCTCTGGCTGGTCTCGAACTTATGGCTGCAAGTGATTCTCTGGCCTCAGTCTCCCAAATTGCTGGGAATACAGGCACGAGCCACTGCCCCTGGTGAGGTGTTCTTTAGAGACTGCTACCCTGCAAGGAGAGGGCACAAAAAAGGGGATTTTAGCACAGCACTCAGGCCCAGCTGGCGTACAGTCCCTGCCACCTCTGCTATGCCCTCTGCTGCCACTTCTAACCCATGTACTGGCACCTGCATTGCCATGGTTTGCGTCTGTCTCACTCAGAGCCCAGGAAGTCCCTGAGTGCCAAGGCTGGGTCTTCCTCCTCATTCCATTTCTCAGTGCTTCACACAAAGGCTGCACACAGTAGGTGTTCCATGCTGCTGCTCCTAGCAGCCTTCCCTCTCCCTCAACTTGTACCTAAGTCAGAGTTCACACAGGTCCAGCATTTACCTTTTAGCTGGCAGAGCATGTTCCCATACGTGAATACCTGTAGTGTGCACCGAAGCAAGCCCAGTGTCAAAAGTATCCTCGTTATCAGCGTCACCCGCCAGAAAATAGCACAGCACAGTGGTTTCAGTATGTGGGCTCTGCAGCTGGTCTGCTCAGATTCAAGTCCTGGCCCTATCACTTGTGGGCTGTGTGACCTTGAACAAGTTTCTTGGCCTCTCTGTGCTTCCGTTTCCCCATCTGTAAGATAGGAATAACGTATCTCACAGGAGTATGGAGAGGCTACAGGTAGAGTAAGAAAAACACTACCTACCACATTAGTGAGCTCACTGCTCATGGTAGCTGTTACCATTCTATTTATAGAGAAGGACACAGAAGTTCAAGGTCAAGATGACCCAGCTGTCCAGTGGAACAGGTTTTTTTTTTTTTTTTTTTTTTTTTTTTTTTTTTATCTCTGAGTTGTTAGACGTTAGATTTCAAATAGTGTTTAGGGATAATCTCCTCCTCCCCTTGGCCTACCTCCCCTGTCACCTTGTCTCCTAATTTATCTGTTTATACATCTGGTTGTCCTTCTCAACGGGCCTCTTCAAAGATAGGGACCTGAATTAGGTTGGTTCTCTCCTGTCTCCCCAGGGCCTGTCTCCCCAGCCAACTCCAAGGCTGCATGGAAGAAGCCACACACTAGCTTCCTGCCAAGGTGTTCTGCTGAGCACCTCGACACGGAGGGCCTCATGGGCGCCTCCAGATCACTCTACGAGGTGGGTGAAAATTCTCTACATCTGTCCTGAGGTACAATAAACTGCACACATTTTGTTCTGATGTATGTATACACCCACAATCCCATCACCACCATCAAAAATGACAAACATTTCCATCACCCCTAAAATTTTGCCATGCCTCTCTGATATCCCTTGCTCCTCCCAATCCTAGATTTATTTATTTTTTTAGAGATAGGGTCTTGCTTTGTTGCCTAGGCTGGAGTGCAGTGGCACAATCACACCTCACTGCAGCTTCAAACTCCTGTGCTCAAAGCGAATCTCTGTCCTCAGCCTCCTGAGTAGCTAAGACTACTGGTACGTGTCACCACACCCAGCTCCAGTTTATAGATTCATCTCCAGTTTATAAAGGAGGTGACTGAGGTACTGAGAGGTTAAAAAACCTTCCTAGAGACACTTGTCCAGCAAGTGGCCACTCCAGGATTTGAACCAAGGTGATGTGTCCTCAGGCTGCTTCTCTGCCACTGTGCCATGCTACTGAGTAGTAGTCAGCAGTGGGCAGGTGCCTGCAGTGGTCTGTAAAGACCACCTGAGATGTCCTCCCTCCTCTGTTCCACCCTGTCCAGGTCCAAGAAGACAGTTTAGGAAGAGACTGCAGGTGTGACTCTCAGTGTGCTCTTACATGAGAAGCAGGCTAGCACCCCAAAAGGAAGGATGGATGACAGACAGAGACTGTGCAAGCAGAGGAGATAAGGGGGCCGGAAAGCCCGGAGGTTGGGCGATGCGGGAGCCTGCATGTCCCGAGGGGGTGCTGGGCCCAGCGTGAGTACGTGTGACTGTGACTGAGACAGTGTGACTGCTTAAGGCAGGGACATAGCAGCTCCCTGACTGGGGGTGGAAGGCGTTAACTGTGTGAAGGCTGGTTGTGGGTGGGTGGGCTCTGGGCCTCGAACCCAGGGGCTGAGGGAGATAGTAAACAGCAGGGTGACTGGCGGGAGGATCCTGTTGGTAGCCCTGGGAAGATGCGGCAAGGCTGTGGGGGATTGTGTGACTTTGCAGTTCAACACATTCAAATTCAACCAATGTTGGCAGGGCCTGTTGTGCCAGGCAACCGGCGAGGAGGAGGAGACTCGGACCCAGCTTACAGCTGAAGGGCGCTGGCTGCCTGGTTTTGTGGGTTCACCTTGTGGTGCCTTTCGCCCTTGCTGGCATTTAGTCCTCAAAATAGTTCCATCCTCACGCTGAGGCTAGATGGAGGGACACAGAGGAAAGTGACTAGCCCAAGGTCACTCAAGTGCCAGGGCAGGACCTGAATTCAGGCTCCCAGCCTGAGTCCCTCCCTGCCACGCCTGTGCCAGAGTGGAAATGTCTAGTCCTGGAGGGGAGCTTGGACTCCTGGCCTTGGCTCTAGAGACATCCCCCTGGACCACGTGGGCTCCTAACCTATCCATGGTCACTGTGCTGAGGGGCGGGACGGTGGGTCGCCCCTAGTTCTTCTTTCCCTGGGGCCAGATTCATGGACGGACGGGCTGCTCGGCACTCAGGGACCCCCTAAGCGCCCCGCCCTGGCCCCAAGCCCTCCCCCAGCTCCCGCCCCCCCTCCTGGCGCTGCCTCTGGGCCTAAAGAGGAAAGGGCTGTCTCCACCCACCTCTCTAACTCTCCTTTTCTATAAAGGCCGGAACAGCTGAAAGGGTGGCAACTTCTGCAGCCGGGAGCGGCCCGCCTGCCTCCCCGCGCGCCCGCAGCCTCCCCCGCTGCCTCCCTAGGGCTCCCCTCTGGCCGCCAGCGCCCATTTTTCATTCCCGAGATAGAGATATTTTGCGCGCACACACATACATACACGCGCAAAAAGAAAAAAAAAGCCCACCCTCCAGCCTCGTTGCAAAGAGAAAACCGGAGCAGCCGCAGCTCGCAGCCCGCAGAGGACGCCCAGAGCTGAGAGCGAGCAGGCGGGCAGACGGACCGACGGACTCGCGCCGCGTCCACCTGTCGGCCGAGCCCGGCTGAGCGCAGAGCGGGCACGCCGCGCGCGCGGAGCAGCCGTGCCCGCCGCCCGGGCCCCGCGCCAGGGCGCACACGCTCCCGCCGCCCCCCCCCCACCCCGGCCCGGGCGGGAGTTTGCACCTCTCCCTGCCCGGGTGCTCGAGCCGCCGTTGCAAAGCCAACTTTGGAAAAAGTTTTTTGGGAGAGACTTGGGCCTTGAGGTGCCCAGCCCTGCGCTTTCCGATTTTTGGGGCCTTTCCAGAAAATGTTGCAAAAAAGCTAAGTCGGCGGGCAGAGGAAAACGCCTTTAGCCGGCGAGTGAAGACGAACCATCGACTGCCGTGTTCCTTTTCCTCTTGGAGGTTGGAGTCCCCTGGGCGCCCCCACACGGCTAGACGCCTCGGCTGGTTCGCGACGCAGCCCCCCGGCCGTGGATGCTCACTCGGGCTCGGGATCCGCCCAGGTAGCGGCCTCGGACCCAGGTCCGGTGCCCAGGTCCTCCCCCGCCCCCCAGCAACGGAGCCGGGGCCAGGGGCAGAGGCGCCCGGGGGCCATGCGGGTGAGCCGCGGCTGCAGCGGCCTGAGCGCCTGATCGCCGCGGACCCGAGCCGAGCCCACCCTCCTCCCCAGCCCCCCACCCTGGCCGCGGGGGCGGCGCGCTCGGTTTACGCGTCCGGGGCCCAGCGGGGCCGGGCCCGGAGTCGGCATGAATCGCTGCTGGGCGCTCTTCCTGTCTCTCTGCTGCTACCTGCGTCTGGTCAGCGCCGAGGTGAGTTGCCACAGCGGCTGGGGCTAGTTCTTCATTCATTACCTTCGCCCCCACCTTCTGACCGCCCCCTCCTCTCCCTGCAGTGAACTTTGGACCCTTGCAGCCCGCGAGCCTGACGCCGGGCGCTGGGTGACCTCCTTGGGCTGGGAGCGAGGTCCGCGGGTGACAGGCTCTAAGGGAAGGCAATAGCGGTGGCTTTCTTTCCAACCGGCGGGCGAACCTGGCTCCCTAAGCCGTTCCGCGTCGGGGAAGGGTGTGTGTGGCCCTGCCCCCCACCCCTCGGGAACCAGAGAACAAGCCCGTTCCCGGCCGGGGAAGAGGGGGTGGGGTAGCGCCCCGGGTACAGAAGACAGTGCGTCCTCCCGAACCCACTTCGGCGCCAGCCTCGGCTTAGCCTCTGTCCTGCCACCGGCTTGCCCAGGAGGTGCAAGCTTGCGCACCACCAGTGCCATCCACGCCGATCTCTGGCGGGGTTCGGGTCCCACCCTGGCTCCCGGTAGGGGTCCGGGTGGGCGCCCTCCGGCACGGGCAGGGCATGCCCGGCCCCAAAGCACTGTGTGGAAGCAGCTTGTGTCTCGGGGGGTGGGTAACAGGGAGAGAGAGATAGAGAGGGAGAGACGGAGGGACAGAGGCGCAGGTAGGTTTCGGGCACTCGGATAGGGGAAGAACTGGGGGCTCTGAAGGAATCCAGCCCCCGGGGCGCTGTGTGTCTGAGGCCTCGCCGTACCTGTGCCCGCGCCCTGCTAGAGGAAGCACCACTCTCCCCCGCATGCGGGGTGCGGAGCGCGCCGCCTGTAAAAGCCTAGCTGCAAGGGAGATGGGGTGTAAAAACATCTGCGGGAGCGCTGGGGTCGGAGCCGTCCCCACCACTCCCAGCCTCACGTAGCGGTGAGTTGGCAAGTCTACCCGGAATCCAGGTGGGAAAGGGGGCGGGGCGGGAGGACGCGCGCGGTAGAGGGGAGGAGAGGGCAGCCGGGAGCGCGGCGTGCCTGGGTCCCGTCCCACCCGCGTCCGGCCGCGGCCAGGAGTCCCACCTCGCCCGCACCTCGCCGGCTCCCGGGGGGGGGTCGGCCCCTGCAGCCTCCTGCCAGGCGCAGGAAGGAGGCAGCGGCGGCGAAGGGGTTAAAGCAGAGGGCTCGGAGTCGGCGGCCCGACCTTGGGCCGCCGCCAGCGCAGGTTGTTTTGACCACGGAGGAGCCGTCGCCGTCTCCTTTTGTTCTCGGGGCTCCTCGAGGGCCGAAAGCCGCCCGCCCCGGGGCCCCGCCCTTCCGCGGCGGTCCCCCGCGGCCGGCACCTGGGAGGGAGGACGCGGGTCTCGGCCTGGCCGCCTGCAGGCCCCTCCCGACGACCCCTCCCCCCCTCTCCCGCAGCCCCCCAGGCCGCGGCCAGCTGTTGGGGAGGGGGTGGCCGGCCGGCCCCAGCTGCCGCCTCGCCTCGCCGTGGGACCTGGGGGCTGGGCCCGGTGCCAGGGCGTCCTGGGAACGGCGGCGCCCCGCGGCTGCTCTCCGCAGCCCACCCCGCCCGGGCCCCCGACTCGCTCACTCACCCCACGCATGCACACTCCTGGCCGGAGGCGATGCTGCGCTCCGGCGGGCGGGCGCGCAGAGCGACGGGCACGCACTACCGCGGCCGGGTCGCGCGCCCGCCGCCGCCACGCCCGTGCACACGCGGGACACACGCGCGCGCACCGCACACAAACGCACGCACGGCCCCTGCACGCGCTGTCTAAACACACGTGCGCGCACACCCACGCACGTACACAGGCACGCACAGACCCCCGTGCACCCATCGCCTGGTGCTCGCCCACGCGCAACAGGTGGGCCCCCCACCGTGGGCCCCGGCACCTCACCACCTCTGTAGCAGCCCCATTTCCTTCCTGACGGCCTGTGAGGGAGGAAGAACCTCCCATCAGGCCTCAGCTCCACGGCACCCACTTTTTTTTTTTGCCTTGTCAGGTCAGCCCCTCAAACCTTACCCATATACGACTGCTTTTTTTTCAACCACCTCCTCGTGGCGGAAAATGGTGTTGATGTGACTCTGAGGGGCATTGAGGTGTCCAGACCGATTCCCTCTCGCATAAGCCTTTATTTGAACGTGCAAGGCTAGAGGGACCTGGAGTGTGCAGCTGCGGAGGGGGCTCCCACCCCTGTCTGCTTCATTCTCTTGGCTGATCCCAGCGTGCCCCTGGGAGGCTGCTGCTGACAGCTGGATGTTTCCCCAGCCTCCCCTTACCATTTCCAGCTCTGTCCAGCACCTCCTCCTCCTTTCCCACAGCTCTGCAGGCTCGTGTTTCTGGGGTGGAGGCTGCCGCACAGAAACTGCCTTTCTCCTCACTTTAGTCACAGCATTCTGGAACACATGGCCACAGGCACGGTGTATGTGGTGCTTTGCGGTTTATGAAGCACTTTGCTGTTAAGCCTGAGTAAGCCTCAGGCTAGCCCTGGGGGAGGAGACCTGCATGGGGATCACAGCATTTGGGGGCCAGTCTGGGAAGGAGCTTTGATGGCCAGTGCTGGGAGAGTCGAGGCAGGTCTGCTGGTGGAGGAGGCCTTGGAGCGGCCACCTCCTGGTCATGCTTGGACTAAGCTTTCATCGGAGGGCAGCAGCCCGGAGGCAGGGCTGAGCAGAAGGTTCGCTGAGGCCTGTGAGGTGCCACCACCCCCTGAGCTGGTTTCCAGGAGGGGGAGTCCCGCTGTCACGACATGTCTGGCCTCAGCAGCCTTCTCTGGAAAAGAGTGAAGGGCTCCACGGCACTTCGCCACCCAGCTTCCTCCCGGTTTGCTAATGGCCCTAGGGGGCAGGAGACCAACTGCTGGAATCCAGAGCCCTGGAGGTGTGCAAGAGCAGGTCACACAGAATTTGGAGGATCTGGTGCAAGAGCCAGGAAGTGTGTGTGTGTGTGTGTGTGACAGAGAGAGACTGATTGAGCAGGAATGCTGAGATGTTTACCATGGGCCTCATAAGTACCTCTCCAATCTTGTCTTCCCCTCCCAGCATTGAGGAGCCTCTTCCACAGAAGAGGCAACTGTTCCGTGGCAACTCTTCCCATGTTCTGCTTTATTTCATTTTTTATTACCTGCTTTCCCCACTGGAGTGTCAACCCCACTGGAGAGCTTTCCTCCTGGTCCCCACTGTTAGAACAGTGCCCAGAGCACTGTGGACAATCAGTAACTATTTGTGCAAAGAACAGTGAGTGCTGGGTTGTGGGGGAGGGCAGGCCCAGGCCCCCTACGTGCTCCAAGGCCCGAGTGACTCCTGTGCTCCAAGGGCAGCCCCCCCCATTCGGCCCTCTGGTGAGCATCGGTCTTTCAAGGTCCCCCATCTTGAGAGAGAAGCATGTCTTTCTCTTCTCTGTCTTGGAACTTGGGCTGCCAGAATTAGACAGGACAGAGGAGAAGAAACAGAAAGAAAATCAGACTGCAAAGGTTCTGTGTATCTTTAGCTGGGGCTAAGTTTCTGCCACATAAAAAAAAAAAGAGAGAGAGAGAGAAAGAAGACTGGATTAGCTCAGAGTTTCCAAAGAACAGTAGAATCCCCTGGCCTCCAGCTGGGATGGGGATAGGTAGTGATTGCTGTGGCTGCCAGTATTATAAATGGCTGGACTGGTTCCTCTCTTCCTGCTTTAATTTCCCTCTGCTCCTGCAAGAGGTGGGGAGGCCAGGGTGCTGGGCCCATGTGAAGGAGTGGAGGCTGAGTGGGAGGGTCCCAGGAGCAGTAAGGAAGAGCAATGCAGTTTGGAAACACTGGTTCTAATGGCTTATGTGGTTTCCCCCAAGAGAGCTTCTTTGAAGGACTTGGTTGGCTTTGGCATCTGATCTAAATAAGGCCTGCGACTCTCAAGCAGGCAGGCTCTGGGAGGCCTCATCAGCTTCTTCCTCTGCCAGACAACGCCCCTGGTTGCTTGGGCCTGTGTCTCCCTCGGTGGGAAAGGCAGGCGGGCTGGGGAGTGTGTATCTGTGTGTGTGTGTGTGCTGGGCCCAGGAGGAGGGTGGGGTTCCAGCCCCTTTGATCTGCCAGCCTGGTCAGGAGCAGATCACTCACCTGGCCTCACGCTTGCTCGTGCCCTTCCTACCTGCAGCAGCTGGTACTGGGGCGGGGTCAGAGGAGGCTGTTTGCCTTGGCTCCCATGGCTGGCTTTGCCCCAGCCGCCGCCTCACCACGCCCTTGCCCTGCCAGAAACCCCGGGCCTGAGATCTGTGGAAGCTTCTTCAGGGTGCCAGGTCTCCTTTCCCATCTTTGAAGGGAGTTGCCCACCTGGAGGCCTGGGGAACCTGTGCCCAGGAAAACCAGACTCCTGGCGGCTCACCTTTCCATACCAAGAGGAGCCTCCGACTCCCAACAGGTGCTCATGCTCGTCATCCACAGAGGACTGCATCCTGGAGATGAGCACAGGCTGAGTGTCCCCATCACCCTCACCCACCCCCAGCCCCGGAAGGGCCCTGCCAGCCCACGAGGCCCCAGGCTCTGCCAGTGTGGAGGCAGGGTACCATTTCCTGGAGCCCAGCACAGGGGATAATACAAAGTCATGCACCCTTCCATGGGTGGGCAGCTCTCCATCCACTCCTTGTCATCCTCAACAATGTCCTGCGCTGCTGGCCCTGAGCACGTGTGCCACTCGCTGCTGCCCACAAAGGAGCCATCCGGAAAGAATTAATGATGATGACAGTGACAACTTATTAAACACCCATAATCTGCTGGTGGCTCTTCTCTGTGCAATTATGCCTCCCAGTAACCCTGGGCGAGGTATTATTAGCCCCATTTAAAAGATGAAGAAGGCGAGGTTTTAGATGGTGACAAGGTTCCAAGAATCCATGTCGTGCTGGCATTTGGAGCCCTTGCTCTTTTCTCTGCTATAGGATTTCTCAGCCTCTGCACTACTGACGTTTGGGAAGGCCGTCCGGTGCCCCGCAGGGTGGTGAGCGGCATCCCAGCCTCCACCCATTTAGATGCAGGGCATGCCCCAAGTTGTGGCCACCAACATTGTCACTGTTCCCTGGGGGCTCAGTTGGCCCCGGTTGAGAACCTTTGATGTGAGACATGCTTCAGGGTGAAGAGCCAACACGAACCTTGTGTGATGCTGAGGGCCAGTGGCTTCAGATCTCCGGAGAGGGAGGCTGAGGCGCCCCATGGTGGGCTGGAAGGGGTGGGTGTTCTGGAGCTTGGAAATGACCCAGCTCTCCCACTTCCTGACTCTCTGGACCTGTAGCTGCTTGTATAATTTATTTCTAAGCCTCAGTGTTCTCATCTGGAGCATGGGGATACAAATACTGCCAGCCTCTTAGGATTGGTAGTTTATACGGTGTTTTTCTCAGTGTGTGGCTTGTAGCTGGCACTTAAGAAATGTTAGTTGTGGTATTATTATCAAATCCAGGGACTTGTGGTGAGTTCTGAGCATCTAGTGGCCAAATTACCAGAAGCTTCTGCAGGGATGGCCTCCCTGCTCAGATTAAAGGGACTCTAGCAGCTCATTTGCCTAGAGATTGGGGAAGAGTATCCCAGATGGCCCTCCTGGTGGAGGAGGTGGAAGAATCATTCCGAACAGAACCTGGAGAAGGGTAGACTCCTTCATGCATTGAACCAGTATTTATTGAATACCGACTGTGTGCCTCTTCCACCTCCTCAGACCCTATCCTGGGCTCTGTCGCACTCAGCCTTGGAGGGTCTCAGTTTGTTTCTGTAAAAATGTCATCTTTGTGTTAGGGGCCTGGGTCTGGGGTGTCCACTCAGCCTGTTCTGGGGGTCTGCCTCCTCTGCCATGGCTGGCAGCTGTGGCCAGCTCTCCAGTGGGCTCCTGCCTTGGCACAAGCACTACGTGTCATTTGCTGCTAGGCCTTTGGGCCCCTCCCCTGGGGAGCTCATTGAATCTTATACTCCACAAACATTTCTTGTTCTCTTTCTGCCAGTGATCCAGGGAGGCCTGGCTGGGCACCCAGCTTTGGCATTTTCTCTGCTCCTTCTAACACCTCCGGGCAGAATTAGAATTGAATCGAATGTTCTTCAAAGCCCTCGATTCACAGATGAGAGTCAGGACCATCGGGGCAGTGACCAGCCGAGGTCACATGGCAGTTGGTCTGAAGGCATGGGATCCGGCCCTCTGGTCTGCCAGTTCTGGGTTTGACAGAACTCTCAGGGGAAGCGGCTTTCGCTGGTGTGCACTGGAGACCAAGCCCTCTGTTCTGTGGGTTGGGTACTTTGTCAACATTTGGAGAACACCAAAGGCGTGGTCTCTCTTCTAAGGTGGAAGGAATGAACTTGAACTTGCTTGAGGGCAGGAGGAGGCAGGCCAGGGGGAGATGGGGACAAAAGTGAGGGGCAGCAGAGCCCATACCCTCGCCGTCTCGCAGGTGCAGCCCCTGGCTACCCGGATACTGAAGGAAAGACCCTAGTTCTCAGCCAAGCCCCACGACCTTTTTTCCCTCGAGTTGCTCAGCAGCTCTTAGACTTTGGGCGGGGTTGTAAGCTCCATGTTCAAACAAAGACTTGGAGACTCAGGGGTTTCAGGGAATGATGTAAGTTTAAAAGTGGTCACCCCACCTCCCACCCTGAGTCTTCTAGCTCCTGGGTCCATGTGGGTGGCCAGAGTTGGTCATGGC